TCCATTGACTTCATTATTGCAAATATTGCAATTATCCAGCAACAAAATATGGCACTAATTGAAAGCCCAAGGTAATCAGGAGAAGGCCCAGTCAGAGTGCTAGACTTCTGTATAATACAAACAAATTATGTGAAGGCAGCAGCTTATTGTTTGTACCTGTGGTTGTTGAATGACAACAATAGAAGGCTGCTGTGTCGTACCTTCTGATGGTACTAAAATAAATTATAAAATTAAAGAATATTTAGAGAGCATCTATCTGCACCTATCACACGATAAATCAAACTTACCTGCAGAGGCAAATCCTGACATATTTGCTTGATAGTTCATTCTCTCTGTTTATATTTAAGAAAAGAGCCGAAATGCTTGATGCTATACACTCAGTGAGCTCTGCAGTCTGCACTGATGCTTTATAACACAATGCAATGATGTGACATCACTTTGATGATGTCACATTTTTCCAAAAACTATTTTATAGGTATATCCTAGTCAGGTGGGCCAGCCTGACTCTTGTGTTTACACCTCAACTGATTTCATTATTTTAATTTTCAACAAAACACTAAACAATGAAAGCCAACATACTTGAACACAAACAATCAGTAACAGTTTAACAACTAGTCTATCTTTATAAGTGTTCTACTGATGACATAAAATTATTAGATCTTAAATAATGTAAATAGAGTAGCAATGTTAGCAGTGCCTTAGTCAGGCCAGGGAGGCCCCTCTTAGCATCTGCAACAATAATTGTCACCAAAATTACTATTGCAAGGAAGATATGGTAGGTCACTCCTATCCCAATGAATATTGTGTTAAAGGTTTTTGCTTTACGTGAGGATGCTTGGGCTTCAGCTAGACGGCCATTTTGACAGTAACAACGAGTCTAGAAAAGGAACAATATTGAATCCAACAACATCAGTGTTTACATATTAGCAAAATGCATAATTGGACTTTCACTAAAGGGGAAAGTCTATAACTACTTATGGTAACGTTTGCTTGTTATGTTATTATCACATCTGTATGTCACTATAGGCTCAGTGAAAATAAAAATTGATCTCACCTCAATAGATTTAAGGAGAGCAATGACACCAACCGGCCAGAAGCAACAAATGATTGAGAACAGTGAGAGTATAAGATAATCATTAGGAAAAGAAGCCTCAGGAATTGGTTGCTACATCATGTAATTCAGGATTTAGAGCACTAGGTTTTAATCCTATGCTTTTACCTGAGGTTGGGTGTAATAAACTGGTGGACCAGGAGTATAGCCTAAAATGAAATTTAGAATTAACGAAACAGTTTCATTTTTGCCTGGTGGAGGTTCCTCGAGAAGTTTCTTCTTCTGTGTTGGCATCTTGTTTCTTGTTTGTAAGGGTGAGAATTAGGAAACGGTGCAGGACCTGGAGGTGGATAACTACCAGTATCATGGAATGATTATTGATCCACCAACACAGTTTTTATTGCATTTTACAATGATTATAAAATTCAGATTAGACTATGTTTAAATTTGGATTATGACATGAAACACTAAAATTAAAGCGAAACTAATCTATAAATGTAAACAATGCATAAATTGCAAATTTACGACCTGCATAGTTCATAGTAGTAAATAAGAAAGAGCTAAGGTGCAATATTCGAGATAGACTATATTCGAGATTAAAAATGTATGCTACTGTCTGCAGTCGAGCTGAGCTTCATTTCCATTTATAAATGTTGGTGGAGGAGCAGTATAAGCTAACAACAATGAGAGTACAACTAACGATACATTACTATCTTTAGTATCTTACCTGGTGGGGGCTCTTTCTTCTCTTCTGACATCTTGTTGTGACAAACAAAAATACACCGACTTTATGCCCAATACACCAATGACGTCATAGCTCAATAATCCCACCCACACACAATTAGCTGATCTGGCTGAGTTTTAACAAAACCAAAAATTATTTAAGAAACATTATCACAGTGTACAGTAACTAAAAATCAAGTTCTCTCTCACACACATGCACATGATGTTGATCTGAACATCATACTGTCTCTGCAGTTAATTTGCTCTTGCTACTATATTTAATACAATAATTAGTATTATAGGAGGAGCGTTGAGTATCAATCCCAATATTATTGCTACTATACTATAACTTTTTGCTTGAGATGAGGCTTGTAGAGCTTTATCATAATCACCACTTTGATTGTAGGTACGTGTCTGAGAAAACATGTAAAATTATTAAAAAATTAGTTTTAGTGATTTTACCTCCATTGACTTCATTATTGCAAATATTGCAATTATCCAGCAACAAAATATGGCACAAATTGAAAGCCCAAGGTAATCAGGAGAAGGCTCAGTCAGAGTGCTAGACTTCTGTATAATACAAACAAATTATGTGAAGATAGCAGCTTATTGTTTGTACCTGTGGTTGTTGAATGACAACAATAGAAGGCTGCTGTGTCGTACCTTCTGATGGTACTAAAATAAATTATAAAATTAAAGAATATTAGAGGGCATCTATCTGCACCTATCATACAATAAATCAAACTTACCTGCTGAGGGAAATCCTGACATATTTGCTTGATAGTTCATTCTCTCTGATAATATTTAAGAAAAGAGCCGAAATGCTTGATGTACAACTCAGTGAGCTCTGCAGTCTGCACTGATGCTTTATAACACAATGCAATGATGTGACATCACATCAATGATGTCACATTTTTTTAAAAACTATTATATATAAGTATATCCTAGTCAGGTGGGCCAGCCCGACTCTTGTGTTTACACCTCAACTGATTTCATTATTTTAATTTTCATCAAAACACTAAACAATGAAAGCCAACATACTTGAACACAAACAATCAGTAACATTTTAACAACTAGTCTATCATTATAAGTGTTCTACTGATGACATAAAATTATCAGATCTTTAAAAAATGTAAATAGAGCCACAGCAATGTTTTAGCTAGCAGTAACTGCTATTGTGCTACAGAAATTGCAACAGTTGTCACCACAGTTAGTATTGTAAAGAAAAAAACAATGATATTGATGACCACTCCTATCCCAATGGATATCATGTTAAAGGTTTTTGCTTCACGTGAGGATGCTTGGGCTTCAGCTAGACGGCCATCTTGACAGTAACGACGAGTCTAGACAAGGAACAAAATTAAATCCAACAACACCAGTGTTTATATATTAGCAAAATGCATAATTGGACTTTCACTAAAGGGACTTTCACTAAAGGGAAAAGTATACAAATACACATGGTAATGTTTGCTTGCTAGAATAAATTATCAATTATTGGGCACCACCCATTTTTGGACACTTGTTTTAGGAAAACTATACTTTGCCATCTCATGAAACTGCAGAATATTATAGTAATAGTTGTACTTTATTTGCGTAGCCTGGTTTGGCCCAGCTTACTTCAGCTCAGTTTTGTTGCTGTTTACACTATCAAATGAAACTGTGCTGACCCACTTTAAACACGGCTGGCTCAGTTAAAGAAGCTAGTGTAAACGTAGTATTAGTTTAAAGACAAACCTACAAAGTAATCATATTGACTTTCTAAAACTATTGTTTCCTGCCGTGTAGAAATAACTGTACGAACATTGATGAATTTATCTGAATATACGTAATTTTGGACACCCTGCTTTGAGAGCTGATAACTTTTGCTGCACTCTTGCTAGAGCTACAATTATTTTTACGCAAATAAAGTACAACTATTACTATAATATTCTGCAGTTTCATGAGATTGCAAAGTATAGATCTAGTTTTCCTAAGACAAGTATCCGAAAATGGGTGGTGCCCGATAATTGATAATTTACTCTATGTTATTATTACATCTATGTGTGATATAGGCTCAGTGAAAATAAAAACTGACCTCACCTCAACAGATTTAAGGAGAGCAATGATACCAACTGGCCAGAAACAACAAATGATTGAAAACAGTGAGAGTATAAGATAATCATTAGGAAGAGAAGCCTCGGGAATTGGTTGCTACATCATGTACTTCAGTATGAGAGTACTATAGGCTCTCTTACCTGAGGTTGGGTGTAATAAACTGGTGGAGCAGGAGTATAGCCTAAAAAATAAAATCTAGAATTAAAGAAACAGTTT